TATATGCTCACCATACCACACCCCTATACTCCCCACCCATCCCAGGTTGCGGCTGAGCTGGCAGCGCCCCTCAGTAAGACTGATGAGATCATCATTCTCCCTGGCGCAAATAGTCAAAGCACTACTACTGAGCTGACCAAGATGATCAGCATGCTACCTCCAAGTGTCAGAGCTGTCAGTGGGGTGGACCTGTCCCAGGCACTCCATAGGATGGCCACAGGACCCCCAGGGCCTACCTCGGCCTAGAAATAAGCATAACATATAACATATAACACTCTCTCTCACACACATATATATATATATATATGTGTGTACATACACTTTATAGTCTATATGCGTTGGAAGCGTGCCTCCAGCGTGCAGCCTGTTCTATTCCCAAGTGTAAGCGGCTAGTGGGGATGACTTGTCCCTGGTGCTCAACGGGAAGGCGACTGCAATGCTCATTGTTAGGGTGGCTGTTTCTTGGTGTATGCATGGTGGATAACACTACACTTCACTACACTACACTACACTACACTACACTACACTACACTACACTACACTACACTACACTACACTACACTACACTACACTACACTACACTGACAAAATGGAAACTCATACTACAATAGTACCTACACATACATTTGCACTTTAATTTATCTGCACGTATAATAACGCGCACACGCACGCGCGCACACATATATATGTATGTATCTATTTATATATATATATGGATTCTTAAAATAGTATAACACCTGTGACTTGTGAGAGGATGTGAGCAAAGCCCGACAGAATGCCGTGCGATTGCCTCAAATGCGGCGAGAGTTACGACACAACAGCGGTGGTATTTTGCGACAGGTATTAAATTACGGCACAAAGCCATTCAGTATCATCCAGTTCCGCAGCAACGTGCGATATGTCATATTAAGGCTTGAACTGTGTACTAGTGGGAATAGAGATCACAGTAACTCTACTTATATATACTAATAAATTATCAAACATAGGCGATATATCCACATTTCATCGACTGTCGGTAGTTACAGCAACTCTACTTATATATACTAATAAATTATCAAACATAGGCGATATATCCACATTTCATCGACTGTCGGTAGTTACAGCAACTCTACTTATATATACTAATAAATTATCAAACATAGGCGATATATTCACATTTCATCGACTGTCGGTAGTTACAGCAACTCTACTTAGTATATGTATACTTTGTTACAGCAGCTCTACTCTGTATATATATACTAAGTTATTACAACTCTACTCAGTATGTGTATACTAAGTTATAACAACTCTACTCAGTGTATATTAAGTATATAGTAAGTATATACTTAGTACTCAACATATCTACATATAAGTACACCTACTTCAATAAATCATCAAACATCTTGATTTTAAATTATTTTGTATGATCATTTTGATCAAACATGGGCATTCTACTCACATTGCGTCGACTGTCGGTTGTGCTGTAAGGCCCTTACTCGTGTAGTCCCAACTGTTTTGAATTCTTTGCAAGCAAATTCTAACTATATACTGCAGTCTCGGTTGATATTTGTCCACTTGTACATGGCTGTGTTTGGAGGCTATCTCTCCACTCTCGCACTAGTCACTGAAGCAGAATATCTGCTTAGTCCCCATAAACACCTCATCGAGACAGGGATTTGTATGTCAGCCGAGGTTGGTAAATTATAGCCAAGAATGTGAACACACTCATACTACGTACCAAGCACAGTGAATTCATAATGTAACTACAGAAAAAGTGGCATAAGACACTGGCATGTTTGTATGTATACTGTGGTCAAATACACGCCAGAATAGCACGCTGATATA